CATTCAAATCCATTAAAGGCTGAGTCACAAGTTCTCTGAACACCGGTGTGCAGGGATGGGGTGACTTGGTCACCTCCCATCATGGCCCTGTTGCACCAGCTCCTACGGAAATAAGAAGACACCCTTGTGAAGTCTGCTAGTCACAGGACAGTGCCGGGGAGAGTGAGGCAGGACACAACTGCTAGAATCCACAAAGTAGAACAATACTCTTTGGTCTTTTAACCAGTTGAAGAAAACACAATGGAGGTGCTCAGCATGGTGGCACATGCCTATAATCCTAGCACTAGGGAGGCTGAGGCAGGAGGATTGCCTCAAATTCAAGACCAGCCTGGGCTACATAGTGAGTTCAAGGCCAGCCTGGATTGCATATCCAGACCCTGCCTAAAACAAAACAAAACAAAATATATAGTGGAAGAGGAAATGGGAAGCACAGATTGTGAAGGAAGATTATAAGAACAAGAGAAACAACAGGAAAAACAATTACTGAAAATCAGTGGTATACCACAAACCAGCCCAGCTCCCCAGCCACCTGGCAGGACACTCAGCAGACATCCCCAGGCCTTTCATTTCAGGCCACAAGGAACACAGGTGGTCCCTGCAGCATGTAGCCCCACCTGTGGGCAGGATGGTGCTGTGTGAGCCTTGTGTTTGTGGGCAGAGAAGTGGTATGCAGGCCCAAGCACCTCCAGACCAGCCTTGGGACTGTGTTGTCAGCCCTAACTCCGATCTTGGACGGTGGATTTTTTTCTCAATCCCAATTTCCTTATCTGTAAAACAGATATGAGAGATATTTACTTCATAGAGCTGTGAATATTACATCAATGTGTTTGACATGGAGCCAGGCACCACCAGTCAGCACTCGTAATGCTGGTTCTTGTAAAAATGATTCATTGTTAGGCATCTGGGAAACACAAAAACAAACATCAGTCCCTGGAACCCTACCTCTGTGACAGATCGACTAGCCTCAGCCTTTGCAGCACACTGAGGTCTCAGGCAGGAGACCTGGGCAGCCCACAGCTCTCGGTCGATGGACAGTGCTGCCCTGCCTGGGCCATCAGCATAGCTGCCCATGGGAGGAGAAAACAGTTCCCCTCTTCCTGCTGCTGGTACCGCGCCTCCGCATTTCCCATGAGTAGCTTATGGCCTGATGCATGGCCTGGGCCCTAAGCCTGGCTGGGGGCCAGGGTCGATCATGGGGGTGTGGGGGGGGTGGGGGATGACTTCCAGAAGTGAGTCAGCTGGCCTTCAGGAGAAAACAAGCAAGCTGGTCTGAGGAGATGGTTATCTACTAGAAGTTAAGGATCTGTAGAACAAGTCCCACTCTTGCATGAGCCATGAAGTGCTTAGAATTTTCCAAAATCTTTCCTCTTCTGCCCTTCCAGTTGCAGGGTGAACTTGTTTGGGGCTCCAGAAACAAAAGAAGACAACTGTCACTTTCTGTGCATTAACCCCTGGTGGGCTTGAGCACAAGCTCAGCCCTTTCGGGACTACGAATGGCCAACCCGGTTCTCTGCACTGACTTCTGATTTTGGAAGGGCTCCTTCACTTTCTCTGCGGCCTGAACTCCAGATCCCTGCTCCCTGGCACACCACTCCACTCATCAAGGAAGTGTTAAGAGGACAGCAGAGAGGGCTCAGTCACTTCCCTTTAGACCTTTGGGGGGGGGCGGGTACCAGGGATCAAACTCGTCCTTGTGCTTGCGAGGCAGGCACTGGAACCACTGAGCCAAATCCCCGGCCCTGGCTGGCTGTTTTTCAATTCTAAAGGGCTGAGCCGGGGATGTAGCTCAGTGGTTCCGTCGCCTGCTTCGCAAGCGCAAGGCCCCGAGTTCGAGCCCCCGAACCAAAAAGAAAGAAGGAAAGAAGGAAAGAAAGAAGGAAAGAAGGAAAGAAAGAAAAGAAAAACAGCCAGCCAGGGCCGGGGATTTGGCTCAGTGGTTCCGGTGCCTGCCTCGCAAGTACAAGGACCCAAGTTAGACCCCCGGTACCAAAAACACACAAAAAAACAGCCAGCCAGACCCTGAGCAGATTTTGCAGCTGAGCTGGAAAGAAGATCCAGGCATGAAAACCCGGGACCCGCTGCTTGCTCAAGAAAATCCAGGGACTCCTCGGCCTGCTCTAGGCCTTCGTCCGCCGCCGCCGCCGCCGCCGCCGCACCGCTGGGGACACGGGGCCAGGGACCCTAACCCTGAAGTCTGACAGTTCCGAAAGGGCCAAACTCCGGATGGCGGGAGGACTAGCGGAGCTTAGCAAGGTGTCGGACCTCACGACTGTCACAAACCTGCCCCCTTATGGGTAACCAGCCCGGGACGGGAGGCGGAGCCTGGGAGGCTTCGACTGCTCTTGCGACTTGAGGAGCCCGGACAGCGCAGGCGTCCGAACCTTCCCCCCCCCCCCCCCCGTCCTGCCCCAAGTGCGCATGCACCAGGGAAAAAATCCAGTCTGCGCAGGCGCCTTTCCTGGCAACATGGCTGCCATGTTGCTGCTGCTGCGAGCCCTTCGCCAAGGCCCGGGTTCGGGTTCGGGTCCGGGTCGGCTGTGGGGCCCAAGCTCGGGCCTCTTCTTCGGGCCTGCGAGCAGGCCATACATGGTCTGCAGGCCTCCGGTGGGTGTTGCCGCGGCGGGAGACCGAGCCCTACAGGTAACCGTGTGCACAGCCTTCGAATCTCACCGCTCTTCTGGACCCGGCCGGGTCCCAGCCTCTCGCTGGGAGTTGACCTTTCTGTTTGGAATCCAGTAAGGGGGCTGCCGGTTTCAGGGATAGCACGGTTTTGCATTGACCCACATCGCCGGGCGGATCAGAAACGAGTCCTAGCTCTTTCCAAGAAAATCTGTCTCTCGGACCGGTGCAAACCTTGCGCACCAGGGTATCTGGTTCCTGACAGGTGCATGGACACCCCGCGGTGTTTCAGCTCTGCCTGACTGGCACCTTAGCCTGAAAACAGAGACCTCTTCGTGTCATCTTAAAAGTTTGAAATGGTTCTCAGACCATTCAAATTTCAGGGAAATGTAAACATTACAAATAAACTTATTTTTCAGTACGGTGGATTGAATGCAAGTCTTCACACTGAGCTACATCCTAAGCCCTTTTTATTTTCTTTTACGTGTTAGAAAAAAAATTTTTTTGATACATGGTCTTGCTGTGTAGTCTAGGCTGGCCTTGGTCTTACTGTGTAGCCCATGCTGGGCTCCAACTTGTAGCTGTCCTCTTGACTCAGCCTCCGAAGTGCAGGGATTATAGGTGTGCACCACTACATCTGGCTTTAATTTTTCGGTACTGAGGATTGAACTTGGGTCCTTGTGCTTGCCAGGCAGGCGGCAGAACCACTGAGCTGAATCCCCGGCCCTTCCTGGCTTTGTTTTTATTTTGAGATGGTCTTGCTAAATCATAAATTGTCCAGGTTGAGTTCGAACTTGTGATCCACCAGCCTCAGGCTCCCAGAGGGCTGGGATTACAGGCTGGTGCCATCACGTCTGGCCATAATTAAGTTTTTTTAAAAAAGTTTTTAATCTGCGTTATTAAAAACCTTTAGTTCTGTTTAGAAGGAAAATAATTTGTTTTGGATTTTTTTTTTTTTTTTTTTTTTTTTTTTTTTTTTTTGGTTTTTTGAGACAGGGTTTCACTATGTAGTGAGACTGACCTGGAACTCACTATGTAGGTCAGGCTGGTCTCAAACTCACAGAGATCCTCCTGCTTCAGCCTCCCGAGTGCTAGGATTACAGGCATGTGCTACCACGCCAGACTGGAAAATAATTTCTTTAGTCAGACCCTGTGTTTATTCTATGAAGATAGGGGATGAAGTAGTTAATGAATATATACTTACGGGTTGTGTGTGGTGTTGAGGATTGAACCCAGGTCCAGTGCTTGCATAGTGCAGGAGCCCCTGAGTTCAGTCCCAGTACTGACGCAGGAAACTGTGAGGACCTGGGACAGACCACTCTTAACACGAAGGTAGGAACAAAAAGCAGCTTTTAATGCCTGTGGCTCAGTGAGTGACTCATGTCAGTCTTGAGAGCCCTGAATAGAAGTTGCCTACCTCTTATCTACCTTAGAAGTTATCTACCTTATCTACTTTTTTTTTTTTTTTTTTTTTTTTTTTTTTGAGACAGGGTCTCACTGTATAGTTGAGACTGACCTGGAACTCAGTATGTAGCCCAGGCTGGTTTTGAACTCACAGAGATCCTCCTGCCTCAGCCTCGCAAGTGCTGGGATTGCAGGCTTACAGGCGTGCGCCACCACGCCCGGCTTCTTGTCTACCTCTTTTTACAGCTACAAAGCTTAATTTCTTTGGCGTTTCCCTGGGAATATAGCAAGCAGGATTTCACAAAGCAGAGCAGTGGAAGGGAGAGAGCAAAGGGTTCTGGCAGGACTTTCTAAGTCTGTTACACTCCTTTAGTGACAGATTACAGAAGTAGTCGTGAAGGCTGGGGATTTAGCTCAGTGGTTCTGCTACCTGCCTCGCAAGCTCACGGACCCAAGTTCGATCTCCAGTACCAAAAAAAAAAAGAAGTAGTCGTGGCTATCAGGTATATTCTGCAAAGATCATAGTTACCTAGTTAACCCATAGTTGGCCTAATAGCACAGTTAACTCGTAGTTGCCCAATTTTATATGGAGGAGTGATCTCTCTCAATACTACAGAAAAAGGAACATTGAATACTTTTTTTTTTGTTCATTGAATAATTGCAAGTGGGAAAATGTCCATGTAGGAAACAGAACACTATAGACTTCCTGCCGGAGATGCTCCAAAGGAGTTATTTTCTACTGATGCACAGCTCAGGGCGAAGGAGAGGGCAGAGCTGTAGCCCGGAGCCGGGTACCCGGCCCCTGCTGTTTGGCTTGGTAGCTTTGGACATTTAGTAACGTTCATTGTATCCACATTCCAGGGCACTGTGAACATTACAAATAGATACAAACTTATGTTTTTAAAAAATATTTTTTGTCTATGTTCCTTCAGTATACTTGTGGTCTTGATGTGACTTTGTACTGTTTTGTTTTTTAGAGCTTGCGGTTGAGAATGCTAACGCCTACCTTTGAAGGAATGGATGGATTGTTACTGAAACAGTATCTAGTTCAAAATCCAGTGGGACTCTGGCGACTTTTAGGTGTGTGTCTATTGGTAACAAGTGGCACGGGAGTTTGTGAGTGAACAGTCACACAGTATACAATATTTCCATCGGTGAAACCAGAAGACCATAACTAAGTTGGAAAATTCCCATTGCCCAGTGATGTACCAATTACCAGTGTGCTCTAGGGGCTTGTGATGTTTGGAACAGAAACATTGAGCAGGGGCCCGGGAGCAGTAGGTGCTGCCATTTAGGCCCAGGAAAATATGGAGTTGTGTTAGCATGATGATGAAATCACCTAACGAAGCACCTATCAGAACATACTCTGTTGTTAAATGATATGTGACTGTTGGATAACATTGCTACTTTGACAAGAAAACAAAAGAAAAATTACTACAAGGAACCTTAGCTTCTGTTTGTAATGAGCACTGTGGGATCCACAGTCTTTAGATAATCTGAAATGAAGTTTATGTGTATCCAACCTGTAAGGTTGTCCTTAAATGAAATTTAAGGTGTGTCCAACCTTTTTTTGCCCTCTTTTAAAAAATATTATAATAATATTTTAAAAGGAACTTTTGTTATTTATATGTGTTAAATATATGTGTGTGTGTGTGTATACATATATATGTGTATGTATGTATATGCATATTTATATTTATATATATCTGGGCTGGTACCTGGCACAGAACAGGCCCTCCATAGATGGTACACTGTGATTTGTTTTTTGTTCTTTTTGGTACCAGGGCTCAAACTCAGGTCCTAGTGCTTCTGAAGCAGGCAGTGGAACCGCTGAGCTAAATCCCCGGCCTCCCACTCCTTTTCTGTTTTGAGATGGGCTCACTGAGTTGCCCAGACTACACTAGAACTTGTGATCCTCCTGCCTTAGCCTCCCAGAATGTTGGAATAACAGGCATGTGCCTAGTTTATTATTCTATAATTAGCATATAGTATACTAAGAATGATAGAAAGAAATGCTTTATTAGGATGGCATTGATAACTTATACATGTAGGTTTAAGATGGGTCCCATAAGACTTTTTTTTTTAGGATTGTGCTGTTCTACCTTGTGTCTTCTCTGTAGGTACAAACCATGGTTGTTACGTTGTTTCCCTCTTGCTTGCAGGTGGCACTTACTATTTTAGTACCTCAAGGATGAGGCAGAAGAATAAAGACAATGATAAATCCAAAGGGAAGGCCCCTGGAGATGACGAAGGTACACCTGTCTTCTGATGTTCTAAACTAATGGCTACATACGGCTGTCTTTCCATGTGTGTGCTCCTCTTAGCAAGGGGGAGCCAGGCTTGAAGGTAGGGGAGCTTGCCTGTGCTTACACACACATGTACACACTCACTCACCATCTCTAAGTGAATCCCGGGTTCTTTGTGCATGCTCTCTTTTGAGGGAGAAGATTTTGAGACAGGGTCTCACGATGCAATTCAAGTTGGCCTTGAAATCACTATGTAGCCTGAGCTACATACTCAAACTTCCCGTGATCCTCCTGCCTCAGCCTCCTGAGTAATTAGATTATTGATGTACGCTACCACACCCAGCTTATGCATATTCTTTCAGGAATATTTCCATGGGCACCTGTGTCCCTTTGTTGCGTTCAGAAATGCCTGAAGGCAGATAGACCTTCTGTGTCTACACAAAAACAGTGAATCTAAGATCTGTCCGATTAAGTCAGAGTGCCAACTGTGCAGCCCTGGTCAGCATATCCCTGCCCCTGGGCTTGGAAAATGGGCCCCAGAGGATGGTCCAGTGCATACCACAGACTGGTCCAGTGTAAGAGTAGCCATCATGGTCCAGCTCACTCGGCTCCTAGTCCTGTTCACAAGATCACTTGCAAAATCGGAATGCCCTGCCTAATTTAGGTCTCCTTTCTATGCTGGGATTAGAACTCACTTGATAGTATGAAGAATGAGGGTTTAAACTGAATTGACCTAGTTTCTGAGATCTGTAAGTTCAAAGCTGATTGTAAGCCGGGCATGGTGGTGCACACCTGCAGTCTTAGAACTTGGGAGGCTGAGGCAGGAGAATCCCCACAAGTTTGAGGCAAGCCTGGGATACACAGTGAGTTCAAGGCCAACCTGAACTGCATAGTGAGACCTTGTCTCAAAACACTAGAAAAAAAAAAGCTGATTGTTTGCTATTTGCTATTATTAACTATTTGGAACTAATAATATACAAATTGTTAATTCTTAGAGATAATTAGTGTATGCTTGGTACTATACTACAGAAATTACACAATAATATCTCTTATTTCTCAAAATAGGGCTTTTTTTTTTTTTTACAGTACTGGGGAGTGAACTCAGGGCATTCACACTAAGCTACATCCCCAGCCTATTTTTATTTTTATTTTTATTATTTTTATTTTGAGATAAGGTCTTACAAAGTCACTGAGCTGACCAAGCTGATCTCAAATTTTCAATCCTCTTGTCTCAGCCTCCCATAGTGCTGGGCTTACAACATATGCATCACCTTGACTACTACAATAAACTAAGTTAAATAATAGCTAAATGATAAGGTTTTTTTGTTTGTTTGTTGTTTTGTACCAGGGATCGAACTCAGGTCCCTGCGCTTGCAAGGAAAGTGGTGGAACCACTGAGCTAAATCCCTGGCCCTAAATGATGTTATTAAGTTCAAAAAGCAAAATACAGGGCCAGGGATTTAGCTCAGTGGTTCTGCCACCTGCCTTGCAAGCGCAAGGTCCCAAGTACAATCCCCGGTACCAAAAAAGAAAGAAAAAGAAAAATATAATTTTTGGGGGCCTTTTGAGACAGGATCCCACTGTGTAGTCCAGGCTGGCTTCAGACTTGCAGTGGTCCTCCTGCCTCAGCCTCCTGAGTGCTGGGTTTATAAGTATGTGCCACCACACCCAGGTTCAAAAAGCAAAATTGTACAAGTTTGAGACCAGCTGGGCTACATAGTGAGACCCTGTCTCAGAAATCCAAAACAAATAAAAGGCAAAATTGAAAATGAATTAGAAGAACATATATGAAAACATTGCCTATCTTGAGATGGGAAAGGTTTGTTCATTTGGCAGTGCCATGGATCAAATCCAAGGGCATGGTGCCAAAAACTATGTCCCCAGCCCTTTTTAAAATTTTTGTTTAGAGATGGGGTCTTGTTAAATTGTCCAGGCTATGCTTGAATTTGCAGTCCTCCTGCCTCAGCCCGAGTGTCTCATGTTACAGGTGTATGCCACCGCACCCAGTCTCAGATGTTTTTATTTTTTATTTTGAGGTGGGATCTTGCTAAGTTGCTCAGGTAGGAGTCTACATCCAGCTTCAGGAATTTTTTTTTTTTAATGTTAAAAATGGTTTCTCGGGCTGGGGATTTGGCTCACTGGTCCTGCCACCTGCCTCACAAGCGCAAGGTCCCAAGTTGGATTCCCATACCTCCCCCAAAAATGTTTTCCTATTATCTGAGGTAGGGGCTGCTCTTCTTCCCTCTGAGATTACCTCAGCACATGAAGGTAGTGACTTCAGACAGCACACAAACAACATCTGTCTCAAGTGATAATTGAAAAACCAGTTGACCTAATTGCCCATCAATTGGAGACTGGATAAAGAAGATGTGGTTTCTCTATAAAATGGAGTACTACTCAGCCGTAAAGAATGAGAATCTAGAGTCATTCATAGGAAAATGGTGCATTAAAAAAAAAGGAAAATGGGTGCATATTGAGGCCATATTCTTAAGTGAAATAAATAGGACACACGTGCAAATACTGAATAGTTTTTCTGGTGTGAAAACTAAAAGTGTAAATAAGATCCAAATTGTATAACTGATAACATGAAATAGGAAGAAAATTGCTAAAGGTGTAAGGGAAGTGGGAAGGGTAGAGGAAAGAAATAAGGGAAAAGAACAAATATGAGAAAAGAAATGGAAACAGAGACTTTGTAAATAGGGGAGGGTGGAGGGAGTGAAGGAGAGCAGGGGAATGGGGAGAAAATGAGAACCAGGACCTGTCGTGGAAAGGTACAAGATCCCAGTGATGGATGGAACTGTACTGTACACCTAAAAGGTACCAATAAACGCAATGAGAGAGAAAACGGTCGAGCCAAGTCTGGTGACACCTGTAACCTGAGCACGCTGTGAGGCTGAGGCAAGAGGATATAGTTCAAGGCCAGAGTGCACAACTTAGTGATTTAGAGAAAACCTGTCTCAACAGAAACAAACAAAAGTAGGGCTGAGGATGTAGCGATGTGTGAAGGTTCTGGGTTCAATCTTGAGTCTCACACACACACACACACACACACACACACACACGCACACCCCAGAAGTGCAGGGTTCTACAGGACCGTGGACCCTCCTCTGGAAGTGAGCTTTGCTGAAGACCGCAGCAGGTGGCCGTGCTGTGTGGGGCCACCCGGTCCGACCGCGTGTGCATCTCCTTGTCATGTGCCCCATGCAGAGGAGAGGCGGCGCAAAGAGCGAGAAGACCAGATGTACCGCGAGAGGCTGCGCACGCTGTTCGTCATTGCTGTGGTCATGAGCCTGCTGAACTTGCTCAGCTCCAGCGGTGGCAACATCTCATGGAACGACTTCGTCAGTGAGATGCTGGCCAAGGGCGAGGTGCAGCGTGTGCAGGTGGTGCCCGAGAGTGACGTGGTGGAGGTCTACCTGCACCCGGGGGCCGTGGTGTTCGGGCGGCCGGTGAGTGAGGGCACCGGGCCGGGGCTGGCAGTGCAGTGTGCCCGTCTCCCACCCACCTGGCGAGGGTGAGGAACGGGGTCAGAGGAGGGAGACGAAGGACAGCAGCACGGCCAGCAGAGTCTGGGGGGTAGGAGGAGGTGGTCACTGGGCAGGCCTGGAAGCCCCTCTCCCTCCCTGGGCGCCGCCCCTCCTTCCACTGCGCCTGAGCTGCTCTGCACGGCACAGACTGTCCTGCGTGAACCGCTGATGGGACTGAAGGTGTGAGCCAGGATAAATCTCCCTTCGGCTGCGGGTGTCTGTACTGTATCCCTGTAACGAGAATACGACCGTGACATGAGCCAGCTGCAGACAGGTCTGCACCGAGCGGCGGTGAGAGGAGGGTGGCGGAGGACTGGACCTCGGGACGGAGCATTGCTGGGAGAAGGGGCTACGTGGGGGCTTTGTCTTGCCCAGCAGAGGGCCCACGGGCAGCGAACGGCCAGCACGGGCGCCTGGGCTCTGAGAGGGCCCTCCTGCGCCTGTGTCACCACATGTTGCCACGCGCGTGAGGGGCACCCCTCAGGACCCTTCTCCGTTCAGGTTCCTGGCTGTCTCACACTGACCTCAGCGCTATCGTTGGGAATATTTAAGTTCAAGCTTCAGTCAAGGGGCCTGAGTTATATCTGTCATATGTCTTTCATCTCTTCTTTGTGTGTGTGTGTGTGTGTGTGTGTGTGTGTGTGTGTGTGTGTAATTAATTAATTAATTAATTTATTTATTTATTGGCACTGGGGTTCGAACTTGGGACCTTGTGCTTAGGAGGCAGGTCTTTTTCATTTTTTTTGAGTCAAGGTCTAGCTGCGTTGCTTAGGCTGGTGTGGCCCTCCTGGGCTCAAGAGTTCTCCCTGCTCAGCCCCTGGGTAGCAGCGCCTCGGGAGTTAGGACTTTGGCAGGATGACTGTGTGGTCACCATCTGCCACCTTGGCCTGTGTACATGGCTGGCACTGGGACACGGTCTCCTCCCACAGAGCGGTGCCCCTCAGTAGAGCCACCTTGTACCCCAGGGGGTTCCTGGGGTGGGCAACCAGGGGTGGTGACCAGCACGGGTCCCGTGAGACTCTGGACTGGCTCTTAAATGGCAGCTTGAGCTGCTCCAGGAGTCTGGGCCATACAGTTGACCAGGCTGGCACACAGTGAAAATCAGGTTCCAGCCCCACAGCCCCGAGCAGTAAAGGTGAACATGTTGCCTGACAGAGCTCACTGAAGGTCTAAGGCACATGGTAGCACTGTGTGGCACGGCTGGCTGAAGTGGCTAGTGGATTCAGATTTTGTCTTTTGAATGTTGGCACAGAAAGAGGGTTATTTCTATGCTTTTCCTTTGTGTGTATCTTGGTGATGGCCACATTAATTGTTCAAGTGTTTGCTTGTGTTACTGGGATTGAACCCAGGACCGTTTTGCTGAGCTACATCTCCAGGCTGAGTTCAAACTTGCCACCCTCCTGCCTCAGCCTCCCAGAGGAGTGTTTTGTGTTTGCTTGTGATTTTCATTTCTGGAGATTGAACACTCAAGGTCTTGCATGTGCCTGGCAAGTGCTTTGCCATTCAGGTGTTTGAGGAGTTAAAAAGTCCTGACGAGACCCTTGGGATCTGTAAGGCAACCTAACAGTTGTAGCCAGCGCAGGCTGGCCTTGGTATGAGCAATAGGTGAGAACTGGATTATACACAGTACCATTACCACCATCCCCATCCTCAGAGCCTCACCATGCTATTCCTGGGTGATCAGAAGGAAACTGCACCACCAGTATGAGAGCTGAGTCGTCCTGGGGCTGGTCCCTGTAGTGGGCTGAGAGCAGGTCTGGCAATAGCTCAACCCTGGAAAGTGTTCACTAGGCTTGGGTGTGGTGGAACCTACCAGCTGCTTGGGAAGTGGAGGGACGAGGATTGTGAGTTCAAGGCCAGCCCGGTTTATTAAGCAGTAGAAGATAGGGCCGGGGATTTAGCTCAGTGACACTGCATGTGCCTCACAAGGGCAAGGTCCTAAATTCAATCCACAATACCCCCCCCAAAAAAAATATGTAAAAATAGTAGAAGAGCCAGGCATAGTGGCACACACCTGTAATCCCAGCACTTGGGAGGCTGAAGCAGGAGAATTGTGAGTTGGAGGCCAGCCTGGGCTGCATAGCAAGTTTAAGGCCAACCTGAATTACATAGTGAGACCCTGTTTCAAAAAAAACAATGGGCTGGGGGTTTAGCTCAGTAGTGCCACCGCCTGCAGTGCAAGTGCAAGGACCCGCGTTCAATCCCCAGTACCACAAAAAAAAAAGGATAAACAAAGCAGAAGAAACCCATATGAGTGTGATTGCTCATATACATACCTAGGTGGATGCTGATTGTTTCACTGCACTATGTTATTTTACTCTACGATATTATGCCGACTTGGTCATCTGATAAACCTTCCTTAAAGAGAGAGCATTTGGAATGCTGCCCTGGCGGTCAGGGCACATGGGAAGGGATGACAGATATCTCCTGCCTTGTCCTGTCCTCTGTGGCAGCTGCCAGCCAGCCCAAAGAGAATTAGAAGCCTCTGCCCTCTCCTGGTGGGTGGCCTTCCCCAGCCAGGCTCAGGAGTGAGCTGAGCGAGCGTGTGGAGCTTCACTAGGGAGACTGGTGCAGAAGAAATCCCAGGGAGCCAGGTGGGAGCATGCACAAGAGCCTTGCCTAACAATCCAGTCCTGCCACAGAGCCTCTGCCTGTGGCCTCACTCAGTGGGCACAGTTGTCCCAGTCATGTACCTGGTTGACATCAAGGCCACACTGGTCTCTCTCTGGCAGAGCCTGCGGCGATGACTGAACCATCTTCTTCCATTTCCTTCAAATGTCCTTCCTCGTGGAGTGCTCGCCCTCTGAGAGTGCATCTTTTTTTTGTTTTGTTTTGTCTTTTGTTTTTTGAGACAAGGTCTCACTATGTAGTTCACTATGTAGTGAGTTCTCTGGAACTCACTGTGTAGCCCAGGCTGGTCTCGAACTCACAGCGATCCTCCTGCCTCAGCCTCCCAAGTGTTGGGATTATAGGTGTGCGCCTCCACGCCCGGCTTGAGAGTGCATCTTTTAATGTTCGTTTCTCAGATTGCACTGGAGGGACCTAGAGCTTCAGGTTAGGATCCTTCTGGACAGCATCTTCACCAGAAGGGATGGGGCCCTGCAGCTGGCCTGGCTCTGTCTTCACCCTGCCCTCTTACTCCCCCAGCGGCTGGCCTTGGTGTACCGGATGCAGGTGGCAAATATTGACAAATTTGAGGAGAAGCTGCGTGCGGCTGAGGATGAGTTGAACATCGAGAGCAAGGACAGGATCCCGGTCTCCTACAAGCGCACAGGGTTCTTTGGGAAGTACGTTGGCCGACTTTCGTAACTCCTGAACCTGCACAGCTTGGCCTTGCACTGAGAGGACAAGCTGTAAATGGAAACCTCACTAGTTTCACCTGCAGTCCACTGGGGTCGCGTGGAGCAGGCAGCATGGACACACACGCATCTGTGTGGAGGCTTTGCAGGTTGTTGCTGGCATTTAACACAGTATGGAGGTGCTGTTTGTGGGTTTTTTGTTTTTTTGATGCTGGGGCCTGAACCCAAGACCTTCCCACTAAGCAACATCCCTAGTCCTTTGTTCCTTTGAGACAAGGTCTTACTAAGTTGTTAAGTTACCTAGGCTAGGCTCGAACCTGGGGTCCTCATGCTTTGGCCTCCTGGAGTGCTGGGTTACAGGCCTGAGCCACCACACCTGGCCAGGGCTTGATGTTTTCTGCAGATACAGAAATGGATCAGAAATGGGGAAAGTAAGGATGTTGACTAGAAATTCTTTCATTGTTAAGAGAAACAGACATGTGGTGCTATTGGGGAGTTAGGGGCTGTGGAGCCACAGGCTCATCGCAAAAATGACTTACATCATTGCACAGTGTGCTAGACTTGGGAGCAAGTGAGCTCATGGGGAGAAGTTCAGCACTTCCTGCACCTGTAGGTGCCAGCTCCCAGCCACACCATGCTGACACTGAGCCTCTGATGTACCCAGGGGAAACAGGCATGGCACAGTGGAGCTGCCTCTTTCTCCATATGAGAAGCTGAGTCTGGGCATTGAACCCAGGACTTCTCCCAGTGAGGCTGCACTCAATGGGTGGCGTCCCGGGCCGGTCACGGCCTGTGTGCCCCACACCGAACACAAGCTGACCACACAGGGTCCTCACAGAGGGCACAGCAGCCGCACTCCTTGTTCCAGTTGTCCTGGTGACAATCTCTCAGCGTGTTTCTCTTTCCCGCTCAGTGCCCTCTATGCCCTGGGGATGACAGCAGTGGGCCTGGCCATCCTGTGGTACATGTTACGCCTGGCTGGGATGACAGGAAGGGAAGGCGGATTCAGCGCGTTCGTAAGTGCAGCCTGCAGTCCCTCCTGCCTATACTTGCCGAGTCCTCCTGCAGCCTGAAGGTTGGTTGCAATGAAGAGCATCCTGGCGTCAGGGCCTGCGGGAAGCAGAGTGTACACAAGCCCAGTGTCGCTGAAGGCCTGTTTCCTGACGTCAGGCTCAGGCTGAAAGCATGTAGGCCAGTGTATGCTGCAGGGCTGATTCTGCTGGGAAACACATCTTCCTTTTCCTGTTTTCAAGTGTCTTTAAAAGAACCACATTTCCTAGAGCTAGGTGGGGTCCAGGGTGGTCCCAGTTGGTACCTCACAGGGTGGCTCCTGCTCTACCCTGGGCATCACCCTGTTCCCATGGAGAATGCAAGCAGATTTCCATTCTAACCTGAAGACGTGCTGAGATTGAAGCCAGGGGTGCCCTGCCCCTGAGCTGTGTGCTCAACACTGTTTGCTTGTTTGTTTGTTTGTTTGTTTGTTTTTGAGGTACTGGGGATCAAATTCAGGACCTTATGCTTGCCAGGCAGACGAGGTGCCACTGAGCTAAATCCCCAGCTGTACTTTTTATTTTGAGGCAGAATCTCACTCAGTTGCCTGGGCTTGCCTTTGAACTTGTGATGTTTCCACATAGCTGGGATTACAGACCTGTGTCACCATGCCTGGCTTCCCACTGCTATTTTTGTTTTATTTTATTTATTCTGTTTTTTGAGACAGGATCTTGCTCTATAATTCAGGCTGGCCTTGAACTCCCTGTGTAGCCCAGGCAGGCCTCAAACTCATGAACTCATGGCAGTCCTCCTGCCTCAGCCACCTGTGTGCTGTCATTATAGGCATGCATCACCACACCTGGCTCCACACTGCTTTTTTTTTTTTTTTGTACCAGGGATCTAACTCAGGTCCTTGCGATTATGAGGCAGGCAGCAGAACCACTGAGCTAAATCCCTCACCCTACACTGCCTTTTTTTATTTTTATTTTTTTGCTTATTTGAGACAGGGTCTCACTATGTAGTTGAGACTGACCTAGAACTCACTGTGTAGCCCACACTGGTCTCGAACTCACAGCGATCCTCCTGCCTCAGCCTCCCGAGTGCTAGGATTACAGAAGCGCGCCACCACGCTCGGCTACACTGCCATTTTTAATGACAGCGTGGTATCTCATTGTGGGATTGAATCAGATTTCATTCAACAAGTAGTTTTGCTGATTTTGAACCCTACCTTGCACATCATCCTGAAAGCAGGGTCTAACTGAAGGACACATACTTTATTACGAGCTTTCTCTGCCTTGCCCTTTGTGTTCCAGGGACTTAGCAGTGAGCTAAGACTCTGATACTGTGTATCATTTTGTCTTTATAATCAGAAGAGATCATACAGCACTGGGGAAAATCACATCAAACAATTAGAAAAACTAGATAGTGAATAGAAATTGTTCTAAATTACTCTCTTGCTGCTTGGGAGTTGCTTTCTCATGGTGCAGACAAGGACTCGACTCAGTTATTCCTTGGCCCCAGGGACAAGATTTTTAAAAAAAAAATTGCCGGGAAACTTTCTTACTGATTGGTGATGTAAAGCAAAGATTACCCCTGGGTGTCTGGAGAGTGACCAGCGGGGGCAGGGGCTGGTCCCCTGCTGCGGGCAGAGGGTTCCCTGGGGGCCTGGCAGGGCGGCGGGGGAAGCTGTTGTCTGCTCAGGTGGACAGCCGCCTCCGGTGCCCTTCACACTCTTGGTACACAGAATCAGCTTAAGATGGCTCGCTTCACGATGGTGGATGGAAAGTCGGGGAAAGGAGTCAGCTTTAAAGATGTGGCCGGAATGCACGAGGCCAAGCTGGAGGTCCGGGAGTTTGTGGATTATCTGAAGGTGAGTGGGAAGCCGTTACCCCAGAAGGAAGCATGTGTGACTGCGTCCCGGGATTAGACGGGACACTGCTCACATGCCATTGCCCACTGTACCAGCAGCACAGCACAGCACACCACTGTTGACAGGCGGGAGGGTCGTGGAGGTGGCGATTGTGCAGTTGGCCACCTTGGACACTTGACCACTGTGCCTGGCTCAGACCCCTGTTAACTGCAACCAGTTGGTAGAGTACATGAGCACCCATCACCCATGAGGATGGTGGTGAGTGTTGTGTTGTCTGCTGCTGTCTAGAGCCCCGAGCGCTTCCTCCAGCTTGGAGCCAAGGTTCCGAAGGGCGCACTGTTGCTTGGGCCTCCGGGCTGTGGGAAGACGTTGCTGGCCAAAGCGGTGGCCACGGAGGCCCAGGTGCCCTTCTTGGCGATGGCTGGTCCAGAGTTCGTGGAGGTCATTGGCGGTAGGTCGGGGTGGGGCTGTGGCTGGAATTGTAGGCTGCTCTCTAGTTCTTCCCCAGTGCCAAATTGAAGGTGGGGGATAGACTAGGATAACAGCCTGAATTAAAGGAAGCCTTGTGTTTGTGCAGTGGCCTGGGGGATTGTGTGCTTTGTTGCCACTTTCTTGTGTGGACTAGGAGGCCAGGAAAGTGGCAGTAGCCACTTCTGGTCTGTGCAGGGAAGGCCTTTCCTGATTTAGCCATCCTTGGTGGAAGCTGCTCCTGGCTCTGTGCAGAGGTAGGATTTGGCTCCCTTTATCCATCTGTTCCCAATGCTGTGTCCCCTCAGGCCTAGGTGCCGCCCGTGTGCGCAGCCTCTTCAAGGAAGCCCGTGCCCGGGCCCCATGCATAGTGTACATCGATGAGATCGATGCTGTGGGCAAGAAGCGCTCCACCTCCATGTCCGGCTTCTCCAACACAGAGGAGGAGCAGACTCTCAACCAGCTCCTGGTGGAGATGGACGGTCAGTGCTCATGTGCCACCCGCCACAAAGAGGGTAGCCCCATTCCTTTCATGTTGGCAGACATCATTGGGCACATGGAATCGCATTCTGGGAGGCTTCGTTCCCCTGTGCTGGGATGTGTGTTGCTGGGCCCCACCTACCCCAGGAGACTGACATAGCACAAAGAAGATCCTCCTCCAGCTCCCGATACTGTCTATCACCTTGCTGCCCACAAGAAACTCAGCTCTTAGCCAGGTGCAGTGGCACGCATCTGTAATCCCAGCCACTTCGGGAAGCTGAGGCAGGAAGGTAACAAGTTCAAGGCCAGACTGGGCAACTTACTGAGACCCTGTGTCAAAAATCCTCCTTGCAATCTTGCCACAGCCTCCGAGAGTACTGAGATTACAAGTGTGCACCACCATACACAGTTTTTCCTTCCCTTTTATGGTTACATAATACCCCACTGTGTGTGAAGGCTGTCTTGTTTTCAATTTAGTTTAGTTGTTTTGTCTTTTTGTTTTTGTTTTGGTATGGGGGATCGAACTTCGGTCCTTGTGCTTGGGAGGCAGGCAGCAGAACCCCTGAGCTAAATCCCCGGCCCAGTTATGTTTTGTTTTTAACTGTTGCAAAATTTTATTAAAGGTAGGAAAAGAAACAGGCTCTGCAGAGCAAGTTTGGGCCAAGTAAAAGTAGGAAAAGAAGTACACCCTACAGTGTGGAAGTGGGCCACCAAGCAAGAGCAAACACAGGGGCCTAGGTTTTTGTTGTTGTTGTGTTTGTTTGTTTTCTGAGGCAGGGTCTCACTATGTCATTTAGGCTGGCTTTGAACTCACAGTGTTGTCAGAGCTGGGCTCAAACTCCCAGCAGTCATCCTGCCTCAGCCTCCCAAGTGCTGAGATTACGGTGTGCACTACCCAGCTGACTTAGGTCTACTTTTATTATAGAGAATGTATAAGGAACTTGACCATTAAAAATCTTAGGCTGGGCCGGGGATTTCTTGTCTGTCCACTCACCTGTCAGCGTGTCACAGTGTTGTGAACATAGGAACCAATGCCTGCCCTCAGCCCGGCACAGTGGAGCGCACCTGTAATCCCAGGTACTCGAGAGCCTGAGGCTGGAGGATCGAGCGTTTTAGGGGCCGGCGGTTTAGCTCAGTGGTGCCCGCCTTGCGCACATGCAAGGTCCTGAGTTTGATACCTGGTACCGAAAGCAAACAGTTTGAGGCCAGCCTGGGGCACTTAGTGAATCCTTGTCTCAAAATAAAAAGGTAAACTAGAGATGCAGCTCGGTGGTGAGCGCTTGCTTAGTGTGCATGGGGTCCAGAGTTCCATCCCCAGCACCGAAACAAAAACTCAAGTTGTATTTTTTAATTTCCTCAGAATTCTGATTATGTTTTAGGTATTGTAGATTAGAAAGAAAAAATTTTTTCTCAACATATATTGACTTCTGCGGTACTTACTGTGTCTTTTCCTTTTTCTCTTCTCTTCTTTTGCACTACTAGGATTTGAACCCAGGGATGCTGTACCACTGAGTTACATGTCTAGCTCATTTTAGTTTTTTTGTTTCTAAACAGAGTTTCCTTAATTTACCCGGGCTGACCTTGAGCTTGAGATCCTTCTGCCTCAGCATCGCAAGGTTTTGTGTGTTGTTGTTGTTGTTTTTCCCATACCAATACCGGTACTCAGGACCTTGCTCTTGCAAGGCTGATGTGGTGCCCCTGAATTAAATCCCCGGCCCTGTGTTTTGTTTTTTGGTAGTTTTTTCACTTGTTTTTTGAAACAAGGTCTCATTACATAGTTCAGGCTGCCTCACAATCACCATGCAGCCCAGGCTAGCCTTGAACTTGCAATTCTCCTGCCTCAGCCTCCTAAGTTCCTAGATTATAGGCCTGTACCACCATGCCCAGCTACATTTCTCTTTTTAAATCCTTCTTACTGTCTAAAGTGGTTATCTGGTACCTGGCACACACACAGCAGGGTTATGATTGTACAAAATCAAGTTGAAACTTCTTTAACCTTGTCTTGAAATAATGTATACTCTCAAAAACATTGCAAGAGCGCTATGGATATGGTGGCCTTAGTTGTCTCAAAAACAGAAAAGCTGGGTTTTCAGCTCTTACCTACCTAGCATGTGCAAAGCGTGTCCAGTCCCAGTGCTGCAAAAAAACCAAAAAGAACCTCAGATTCTAGCCCTGGGCCTCCTGGCTGTGGACAAGTCAGAGGAAACAGGCACCAATGGCTTCTGTTGGCAGTGAGCCTCTGGGACCTGCTCTGGGGATGGCCCTGTCACATGTGCCAGGTACAGACTGACATCTTGTTTTTTATTTTTGAGTACCAGGGATCAAACTCAGAACCTTGCACTTACAAGGCAGGCACTGTGCCACTGAGCTAAATCCCTGGCCCTTAATTTTTTGGTACCAGGGACCGAACTCAGGACCTCATACTTGCCAATCAGGCACGCCTTTGCTGAGCTAAATCCCTGGGCCTGCATCTTGTGATGCTGACTGGATAGGAGCAGGGCACAGTCTGCCAAAGCCTTAGGTGCCCAGCCAGCTGTGCATACAGAGTACCTGCTGGTGCTGGAGGTAGGATGACTTTTACCCTTGTCCTTGACCCGTGGACCTGAGGACTCTCTGGCCTTGCACAGGCCCCCCTCTGCAGGAGACTGAGCCATGTTTCTCTCCCTGCTCAGTGACCAGGTGCCCTTCTGGGTGGCCACAGGGAAATCAGCCATGGTTCATGGCTGCACACACAGGCCATGCCGCTCCTCTTCCTGCACCTGAGGACAGAGCACAGGCTGGGGCCTTGGGGCACCCATGGAGCCTCTTTCCTCACAGCCCATCCTCTGTGCTTTGGGAAAATCTCTTTGGCCTAGGATTGGCAGCTGCCTGGACGCTGGCACAGGGCCGTGTGAGCCACACAGCTGTGTGTCCTGGCCCTGCAGACTCTGAGCGAGACTTTGTCTTCCTCTTATTGATGTGCAGAGGACAGCGCTAATGCTGGGTTGGTCCCAGAAGCAAGCCCAGCACGGGCTCACGCCTGCATGCTGGGGCTTAGGGCAGTGTCCTCCCGCCCATTGCTGCACACTCACCTGGATGACAGGTGTCTGGTAAGGGGCTCTGCTTGCGCGCTCTCCTCCTGCGCAGCAAGTGCCCTGGGTTAGGAAGTAGCCAGGCTTGGGAATTGTGAGTCTGCACAGAACTGTGAGAAAATTCCCAGAGGGATGTAGCTCAGTGGTACTGTGCCTGCCTTGCAAGCACAAGGTCCCAAGTTCAATCCCCAGCACCAGGGAAAAAAACAAAATTCCCAGGACTCAGTGGTGAGTGCTTACCTAGCATTCTCAAGGCCCTGGGTTCAAGTTACACCACCACAAAACAGAGAAAGTAAGCATGGATGGACTGGCTCTTCTTGGATGTAGCCACCCCCCAAATGTGGAGACCAAGCAGATGGGCCCTGAGGTGCCACATGGGCCCAGCATGCACAGGCTGTTTTGGAAATGTGATGCTGTGTTTGTCTCTCTTGATAATAAGATGCGGTGAGGAGCTGTGCTCTGGCGTCCAGCAGCCAGGTGGAGCGCCATGGTGTTGCCGTGTCCTTATGGTAGCGGTAAGCATGTTCTGGCAGCATGGTCCGCCAGGAAGGTCGATGGACATGGGAGGACACAGCGCAGCCCAGGCCAGTGTGTGTGTTTCACCCCACAAGCAAGCTGGTGCTGGCCCTCAGACTGTTTGTGCCCTTGGGGCCCTGCATGTACCAGCTTAGTGTACCAGACAGCAGCACCATGCTCTGGTGGGCAACCATGCTGGGCCTGACGAGCAAGTGACCTGCTGCTCCATGCCAAGGTCTGTTTTGTTTTGGTATTAGGTAATCCAGGCTGGCACTGAACTCAGTGTGTAGCCCAGGCTACCCTTATATGTGTGATCCTCCTGCCTCGGCCTCCCAAGTCCTGAGATTGTAGCTCATAACCACCTTTTAGTAAAATCTTAATAAAAATAAATTAGAAAACTCAGATGAAACTCTGAGGCCTGAGTCGTAGCAGACATCCTGCCTCTTTTGTTTTGTTTTGGTTGTTTTTGGTACCAGGAATCAAACTCGGGTCCTTGAGCTTGCAAGGCAGGCAGCAGAACTGCCAAGCTAAATCCCCGGCCCCATCCTGCCTCTTGAAGCAGTGAGCCTGGGACACGGAGAGGAGAGGACGGGGTTTGAGGCTGCAAAGGAGCCTTGGTAGCATACTCCCTCCTGGGGTGCTGAGTGGTGGGCACAGTGAGGTTGCTGCCTTGTTCTCTGTGGCTTGAGTTAATCATAGGTCTCAGCCCAGGACCGAGGAGGAACCCCTGCCAACCTGCATGCACATGTGTGGGAGGAGGGGAGGTGTTGGCTGAGTGCCTACAGAGTTCTCAGCTCTCCCCTGGGGTGAGGTGAGTACCTCTGTCAGGAGCTGACCGCTTTAGCCACTGTGTGCCAGGGCCCTGTCTGTGTGGGATGCTGGGCAGCTATGTGGCCTCCAGAGGACTCAGGTGCTGTGCTGGCTCTGAGAGGGACAGGGCAGCCTGGGTGCTGGCAGCAGAGACAGGAGGGTGGGTGGCACCTGAATGCCAGGGCTCTGCTGGGCTGTCATTACTGTCACGCTAGGGCACCATGTCCTCGACCTGTCCTGGGTGGAGAGGGGCCCACAAGTGCCTTCTGCCAGTATATTTTTCTACCTCTTCACAGAGCAGTGTTCATTTCATTGAAGTCCAACTGATGAATTTTTGATTTTGTGGACTCAACTGCTGTTCCTAGATCCTAAAGATTTTCTTTCTTTTTCTTTGAGGTACCGGGGATTAAACTCAGAACCTTGCACTTGCCAGCCAGGTGTGGTGTCACTGAACTATGTATGTCCCCAGCCCTAAAGATTTTCTCTTGAGGGTTATCCTTGTTTTTGTTTTTTGTTTTTTTTTTTTGTAGTGCCACAGAGTTTCACATATACTACTCATGCAAGTTTCTTCTTTGTTTTGTTCCATTTGTTTGAGACAGGATCTTGCTGTATAGTTCAGGCCAGTCTTGAACTCACTGTAATTCTCCTGCCTCATCCTCCCCCAAATGCAGAGATTACAGGCATGTGTCACCACGCCTGACTCACATCAGTTTTAGAATGTGCATGTCTCTTGTTGATTTTTTTTTTTTTTTTTTTTTTTTTC